GACCTGCTCGTCACACTTCTTTTGATGCAGCCCAGGATACGGTTGATTTTCTGGGCTGTGACTGCACATTGCCGGGTCATGTCCAGTTTTTCATCCACCAGTACCCCCAAGTCACTCTCCGCAGGGCTGCTCTCAATCCCTTCATCCCCAGCCTCTTATGGATATTGGGGGTTGCCCTGACCCAGGTGCAGGACCCTGCACTTGGCCTTGTTGAACCTCATGAGGTTCATACAGGCCCACTTCTCAAGCTTGTCCAGGTCCCTCTGGATGGCATCCCATCCCTCAGCCCTCATCTGGGGCCTAATTTCTGTTCTGTGCATGCCATTCAGGATTCCTGCTGGAATCATAAAGAAGTTCCTTTCTGTGCTTATTTCCCCAGCTGGGAAGCTGAGAGGGGCAGGGACAAAACTTCATGAGTTTCAAGTGCCAAGTCTGGTTTTGAGGTTGGGGTTTTGTTTTGTGTTTAAGGGTCCTGCTGTCTTCCCTTAGGAGATTGTTCAACAGCTCAAACACATCCAGTCTGGAGGCAGTTCCTTAATATTCAGCCCAATATTTCTTTTTCAAACTAGTTGATGAGATCACCTGGTTATACTTTCTTACAACACGCTCTCCAAGTACCCAGAAAAATTGTAATTACCTGTGCTATAAAGGCTGATTAGGCCTAAGCTTTTCTAAATTCACCCTGTTTTCCTGGTTACAGCTGCATCTAAACCATAAGTCACTCCCATCTTCCTTGTGTGAACATCTTCCAAACATTGACAGACTGCTAGGGTTGCCAGATAAGCCTGGGCAATCTGGGTTTTGGATGTTTTCTGCCCAAACAGGCCCTCCAGCCCCCGATTGTTCTCTGTTATTTTCTGAGCAATCTTTAGCTTCTTTTTACTACTTCAGAAACACATCGTTCCAAACATGGCCAGTTTGGGCACATGTTTTTGAAGACAGAAAACAGGGACAGCAAGCAGACTGTTAGGGACTTATGTGCAAAGATCAAAATTATCTTGGACTTTCTCTAAGAGTCTGGAGTCTGCTTCAGCTCTGCTTTCAGCCTGAGGGCTTTGCTTCCTGTTCAAAGGGTTTTCTGTGCTGCACTGCTGTGTTTTGGGTGGAGGTAGGCAGCAGCTATCTGCCCCCCCCCCCCTCACAGTCCATTTTCCTACTGCTGCAAGTACAGACTTTCTCAGGAGGGACAGTAGTCTCTGGCTTTCTCTGAGGCTTGCTCCCTGTTTCAAGAGGTTTGCCCCAGTGAAAACTGCACCTTCTTAGAGCTGTCCCATGGGTCCCACAGACATGCTGCTCCTGCCCCACAAAGCAGCCATGTCATACCTCAGTCCCTTTGCGTGTTGCTGAGAGCAGGTCACCTGCTCTGCTGTTTCTTTTTCAAAGCATTTTCCCAGTTATAAATTCTGCATCCTTGTGTTTAGCTGCAGAGGGTGTAGACTGAAATGTTTTTTGCTGAATGTGCGCTGTGAGCAACCTGGGCTTACAACATCCTTTCTGTTCACAGGGCAAGTTCACCACAGCCAGTGATGTCTGGGCATTTGGGGTCACCCTCTGGGAGATGTTCATACTGTGTAAGGAGCAACCTTACAGCCTCCTCTCAGATGAGCAAGTTATTGAGAACACAGGAGAGTTCTTCCGGAGCCAGGGCAGGCAGGTAAGAAAGCAAACATGACCTCTCCTTCCTTCACTTGACCTGGTCACATCCAGGTGGATCTCCCCAGGGCCTTTCTGCTGGCCTTGCATCATCTGCAGAATTCTCTGCTTCTGTTACTCATCTTCTCAAGTGTGTCCTGCCTCTCTTTGCCTTTATCTAGGCTCATTGCCCCAGCTTTCCTCTCTTGGCGTCCCACTGGAAGAATCTCTTGGCCCCGTCCAGTGCTTCTTCCTTATTATAAGCCACATCTATTTCAATCTGCCCTGTCCTCCTTAGCTTTTCTGGGCTCTCCTACACAATCCTTTTGCTTTTTTCCTTTGTCAGATCTCTCTCCCACTAGTATTTTCTCTGAAAGACAAGGAAGTGCTTACTGAGGTGGGGAAGGAGGAGTTGTTAGTTCCCAGGGATTAAATGCTCCCTGTAGTAGCTCCACATATGCTGAAAAGCCTTTGGCCATCTCTAGTTGCTGAAGGGCTTGTCTGTGTCATTCTATCCTCTTTTACTAACTCCCAGGCAGGACTGTGCACTCCACTGCTTCTGCCTTCAACAGATACCAGTGATGACACAGGACCATCCAACCTCTCAGTACTGAGGATCACTGTACCCAAAAAAGTGGAGTGCCAGTTAAAACAGTTTGCTGTTGTCCCAAAATGCACCTTTAGCACCAAACAAGTTAAAGGATTAAGGAGAATAAAATGATGGGAGGTTTTATTCACTGTCTCCCAAATGCTAATGATTTAGTGAAGAGCCTAAAAGATGTGTATTGAAATGAGAGGGGGAAAAAAAAAATCTGCCAAGCTGTGCTTTAGATAAGCTCTAAAAGGTGTTTTTTCTGTCTCTGCTAACAAGCTGTCACGATGCTTAGAAAGCCTCATGGGTTGTCTACGGTGAGTGAAAGTATTTGGATTTTATTGTGGTAAATTTGGTTTTGGTTTGTGTTTTGCTGTCACTTGGAAGACAACTCTCTCTGAAGCATTCATGTTTCCTGGGGGACAAAGGACTGTTTTGTGACCAGCTCATCAAACAAGTTGGCAAAGTGTCCACAGTGCCACTTGAGATGTCATCAGAGCTCCATCCAGACTTCACTGCCAGATTCACGCTTAAAGGATTTCAAACATTGCATGATGGCCATGTCTTGTAAACCTAGAATGAAACTGTCCTTTTGGTGTTAATTTAGTAAAAGTTCATTTCTCTTATGAAAAAACACTGATACAGCTGTAACTTTATTTCTTTCAGATCTATCTCTCCCAGACTCCTCTGTGTCCTAACCCTGTGTTTGACCTGATGCTGAAATGTTGGAGCAGGGATATAAAAGATCGTCCCACTTTTGACATGATTCACCACTTCCTGCTAGAACAAATGGAATCAAACATTTGACTCCAGAAAAAGAGACAAACTGTTGAGAACAGAGTGACTTTGGTGTCTCTTTGCCTGTACCTCACAGGAAGATGGTCAGGCCACCTTGCTCTCCTCCCTTGACTGTACCGTATTTAAGTTGAGACGTCCATGGCAGCTGCTCATTCTATTGGCCATGGTCTGACATACAGGACCAGAGGATCTCATTTGGTTGAAAAATCATCTCCTCTTCCGAATCATTTCCTGGGAATACTGTGAGAGGGGTTTTATTAGATACCCGTACACCTTTGGGCAAAACAAATGAGTGAAACTTTGAGGGTCTCGGAGCTCTCTCCTGGGTGGAATAGAAGGCTACCAGTCGTTGAGAGCGCTACCACTGAAGAAGAGATTTCTAGAAGTAGAGACTTCAGTCTTCTAAAACTATTCCATTAAATCAAATGGAAGTCTTGTGCACATTAGCAAGTGTTTCTGTATGCTCTTGCTACAGACAATATGTATAGTGAGAGACTAGAAACGTCTAGAGCTAGGAAATGGTTTAACAGACTTGAGAACTGACGGAGCATTTAGCAACCCTTTGGAAGTAACACTACCAGGGTCTACGGAGGATGCTGATACAAGAGTCCAAGATCATGTTCTTTTTTCCTGTGGTTGTTAAGCACTGCTTTTGTTATATATGTGCATTTTCCCCACACTGGATTTTTTCTAGAAAAAAAATTTTGAAAATGAATGTTAAAGGTCATTAGGAAGGTCACTGCAGTAGAAGTTCTTCTTTTGACCTACAAATTAAGGCTAGGGTAGGGAGTTTGTATTGAAAAGTAGCTGATACTGTACTACTGTCACTATGTAGATTTATTAGCCTAATGAACTTGTAGCCACAATGGACTGATGTGCAATTAATCCTGTATAAGTACCCATTAATATGAGATCTGTCAATGCTGTTATATGTGCAGAGGGAACTTAGATTTGGTGAAACCGAATGGCTGAGAGCAGAACCCGCTATGTCACTTGTCATAGCTCACGTGAGAGGAAAAGGAGCAGAGTACGGGTCGTCCCCTGGCACACATGTGCGCACACACACTCAGATACGTATGTCTAGCATCAGTGGTTCCTCTTCAGGCCTGCAGCAGGGTTAGTGCTATCAGCCAGGCAGATGCACTTCGGCCCAGGCTCCTTTATTGCTGTGATCAAATCTGGCATCGGGAGATGGGACTGACACATCCCCTTAGTTTGGGTTTGTGTTTTATTTTGGATTCTCCCTGCACAATGCAAGACCATTTACTCATTGAAATTGGGGTTGGTTTTTTTCATCGTGTCACAAACGGCTCATTCTTTGGAGGGTTTTAGAGGGCTCTGAAATCCATTTGGAGTGAGTTAGAGAATTCAGCTCGTTTCTACAATAAATCCATTGTGGATTTACCAGCTGCCTGGGGAATACTCTGCTATTCCCTCTTCTTTTAGCAAGATACTTAGGAAAACCAAATATTTCATAAGCTGGGAGAAGATGAAAGCTCAGCACTTGGCTTTTTTTAAACAGCATCCAGCATAGCATGTATTTCCAGTAAAGATTATAAAGATAATTTTTATCTTGGCCACAAGCATAGTATGAATAGCTGTCTGTGCTATGAGCTCTTACAGAGGGAACTGCTGAGAGAGGGAATGTCAGAACAGTTATAATACGAAGATAACCTTATGTTGAAAGAAAAAGCATGCTTCTGAATTGGCAGCTGCCAGGATGAAGCCTGGCATGGTCGTGTCTGCTCCCTGGGCAGAACAAACTCTGTTGTGAAGTTTCCAGGTTGCAGCTTACTTGATAGGACTGTGCCCAGGTTGTCCCGCTGCAGACCTGGTGTGGGGTTCCCCTGGCTGTGTGTGGGCATCTCCATCTGAGCTGCTCCTCTGAGCCCCATTTACGTCCAAGTCATCTCATCTCCCTGCGAGGGCTACACAGGCTCAGTTAAATCTCATCCCCAAATAAGTATTATTTTTCGCCTTTGACTAGAGGGGTCCAGGGTTAGCTGCTGTTACATGTGTGCATCGTCTGTCTGGAGCTGAGCAATGGGAGTCAAAGTCAGCGTGGTCCCTGCTGCAGCCTGTTGGGCACTGGTGGCTGGCAAACCACGCATTGATTGTATTTCTGGAGTATTTCTATCCTGTCCCAGAAAATGTACCCAAGTAATACAGAGCCATGTGCGTGATCTGTATTTTGGAGTTTAGAGATAACAGAGCGCTGTAACGTCACCTGGATGGGCTTTGTACTTCTGTTATGTCAGGATGTGCTATTCCTCCGTTGACATGTTGACATACGAAGTTTCTCTCTTACCAATAAATTCTAACGATAACCTTGACAAAAGTGAATTTCTACTTTTTTACCTAGGTGTCTGCAGTCAGGACAAGTATTTTGGTCTGATTATTCAATAGCTCTTTGGTAAATGTGTGACCCCCAGATTTGGAAGGAGCAGCCACTGACTGTGATTGTTTAAAGGAGTGAGCTTTGAAGGGTGTTTCTGAAAATGCTGGGACGTTGCTGGCTTGAGCCTCATCAGGAGCTGAGAAGGCTGGTGGGACCTGGAACAGCCTAGGATTGTTGTTCTGTGCCGTGAATACAGTGCTGTATTTCAGTAAGCAATTTTTTTTGTGCGTTCATATTAAACTCAGAGGAAGATCTAGGCTGGGGAGGGATCTTTGTAGGTCTCCCATCCAGTTGTCCACTAAAAGCTGAGCTAACTTCAAAGCTGCACTGGGGTGCTCTGGGTGTTTCCCCACTGAGCTTTGAAGATCTCCAGGAATGGAGATGCCACCATGTGCCAGGGCTGTGCCTCTCCCTCGGGGGAGAATTTTCTCCTTGTGTCCAGTGGGCCTTCCCCTTGTCACATCTTGTGCCTGTTACCTCTTGGTCGTTTGCTGCATGCCTCTGAGAAGAGCCGTTGTACACCTCGCAGACCCATCCACCCTGCAGACCTGGGGTTGCTGGAGAGGTAGACCCCTGATCAGAGCTCAGGTATTTGGGCAAACTCAAATATATTTATAAAGGCTGGAAGATCCAGATCTCCCAAAGTGTTTAGGCACCAAGGGCAAAGGTCAAAGCAGCATTTTTATCTTGGATACAATTTTGAGTGGAATATAGACACCTAAACAGATGGGAACAACCCTTGAATACTCTATGACTTCAAAGATACTAACCAGAAATATCTGCCAGCCATGTGGCCGAGCTCTTCAAGGCCATAGAGGGACTTTGGCAGTGAAGCAGGCTTGCTGCTATTGCAGTTGGTGAAACAATGCTGGTGCTTATAGGTGTGGTGGTCTTTGTTTTGAGGATATACTGGCCACCATGGCTGTTCAGTAAACAGGAGACCCACGTCCTGGGCCCCCCTTCAGCTGGAGAGGGGTGAAACCCAGCTGAAACCCACATGACCATACAATACTGGGAACAGGAACAACCTTTATCCCGTGTGAAGCAAGGTGGTGAAGGGTTGCATCCTCAAACAGCCAGACCAGGAGGGCAACAAAGAGCAGGGAGAGGAGAGCTGAGCCTTACACTGCAGGGCAGTGAATCCCTAACCCCTGCCTTGGGGTTCCCTCAACACAAAGGTGTGCACGTGGCTGCGTGTGCAGACGGTGCCATCCTGGCCCTGGGTGGGCTGCGCCAGGGACCAGGGCACACACAGCCAGGCTCTCCCGAGTTGTGCATGTTGGACACGAACCGCAGTGTGAACACGTATTTGTGCTGGGGCTGCTTATGAGGAACATCTGGCACTACTGTCCCAAGGGCTATGAGCATTCAGGAAACCTGACAAATGCTATAAAATCTCTGTGCTCATCCAAAATTTCCAGGTGGTGGGGAAAAAAAGCCATGTCCAGAAAAACCTGGTAAGCTGTGTGCTGCAGCTGGAAGCGCTGTCAGGTACCGACATTGCTTTCGGCAGCATCATAGAGGTTTCCCGGGCGACTGCATTGAGCTGAATCTCCTTCCTCCCACACCCACCACTGAGAGCTGCTGCATTGCCATGGCAGCCCCAAAGGAAAATAACCTCTTCCCTCCCAATCCTTACTATATCCCCGGGTAAGTTCTGAAGTTTATCCAAAATGCCTGTTCATTTCCAATGCAAATAGCTTTGGTTGGGATCACGTAGTATTTATGATTCATGATACTTTGGATTTTTTTAAAGGCACTATGAAATATTCCATGCGTCAAAGGAGGGAGGGCTCCAGGACAAGAAGCACCACCTTATAACAGGGTATAATTAAAGAACATACCATAGCACATTGAGGGTAAAGTCAAAATTGTTCTTTTTTCCCCCCTATTTTTCATCTGTTTTAAGCTGCCAAATGTTACCAGGGCTGCTGTGCAGGGTTTGGCTTTCAAACTGTCGTAACTTTTGTATCAAGGATGTTTGAAGATCTCCTTTGAATAAGTATTTGCATAGATACGGTATGGTCTTGTCAAATTGGTTGGAGCACAGTCCTGCTGCCAGATTTCAGCAAAGTGACTATGGATGCTGGTGATCTAGTTGATAGGTAGTTAAGATTTTTTTTTTTTCAAAGCTTTTTGCAACATTCTCCTCTAAAGGCTTGGAAAGAAGAAACCAAGCTGTCATGGGTAAGAGGTAATGAATTATTGGTTAAAATGTAAGACACAAACGGCAGAAATAAGTGGATAGGCTTCACGGTGAAGTAGAGGAGTTGTGTGTGGGATGCCCTGGTGACCTGTGCTGGGAGACGTGGTCCATGACACACGTAAATGGGCTGGGAAGGGCTGGATGGCCACTGAGGGAAAAGAAGCTTCTGTTGGTACAAAATCACTCGGATTAGTCCAGCCTGAGGCTAACTCTGAAGGGCGTCAGGATGACTTTTCAGGGCTGTGACAGACCAGGCTGCAAACCTTGGTACAGAGAAAACTAGTTGTGTCCCATACGGCTGCAGGTGCAGCACAGGTACAGGCAGGAGGCAGGCAGCTCCCAAGCTGCAGAGAAAGGGTGGAGCTCATTTCCTTCCTTAATGATGCTCCTGTGGTGACAAGCACATCAGTCCTTCCCATTAGAGCAGTGTGCAGGATTTTTCCATTACTGATCTCCCTATCTTCCAAACTTACATAAGCTCTGGGCTTGGGGGTTTTTAACATGTTTTTGCATTGCTGCAGTTGTCTGAATGATGTGATGTGTTACTCTGTGCGTGCTGTCACCCTGTCAAAACTGTGTGCTGACAGCAGCTTGGGAAAGATGAGTAACAGCAAGGAGGGAGCCACGGCCGGCCTCGCACCTCCGAAAGCCTCAGAACTTTTCTTTGCTTGCTCCTGCCTGCAGACGGCTGCTCCAGAAGCAGCTTCAAGCCCTAATACTGACACAGCAGCTGGGGTTGCTCCTCTCTGGGCTGCTGCTTCGGCCACTGAAGGCAGGAGGAAGAGGAAACAAATTCTGCTACTGCATTTTGCAGTGCCATGCAGGCTCATGGCGTCACCCAAGCCCCAGAGGAAGCCCCCGTGGGTGGTTGAGGGTGCTGCTTTGCATCTGCTTTGGGTGGCTGAGTGCAAGAGGAGCTGCCTGAAGGGTATTGCTGGAGCCCAGGCTCTGCTGCTGGCAGACGGTGCACCCTGCACTGGGGTGCTGGCAGGAGGAGGAGGAAGATGCTGCGTTGCAGCATCTCACCAGCTGTCCCATGTGGCATACCCAGCCATGCCGGTGAACCCGCAAACACGAGGGCATCAAAATAGGTTGCTGTCACTCGAGTCAGGCAATGATCACAGCCAGGGCTTTGAAAATACCACCGCAGTGCTCGAGAGCATTGGGAAGTCAAACCCAATGCGTGGGATGGTTTGGGAAGGACTTGATGCACAGAGAAGGGGTAAATCCATGAACTCTGGACACCAGGCACAGCCCTACCCGCCCCATCCTGGCTCTGCAGAGCTGGGAAGGGCGCGGAGCTGAGCGAGGATGGGCCCAGGGCCAAAGCTTTTCCCTGGCGATCAGGAAGACTGAGCAAGCTTAGTCTGGGGAGTGGCGATCGACGAGATATGGCTAAGAGAAAAGTGAAATAGGGCTCAGCCTTGGGAAAACAGGTTACTTGCTGCTTGCCAATGAGGTTTGAGATCAGCAGCTGCAGCGCTTCAGTGTAAACTACAGAAACAGGGGATCCCTCTGGTTTCCTAATCAAAATACCAAGCAGGAGAAGGACAAACAGCCCTGCTGAGACCAGTCTCTTCCCCAAGCATCATGGCTTTCAGCAGCAGCACTTGTAATTCATTCTGTGGCAGATCCCTTCTCCATAAACCCAGACTGACTTGCCCAAGCTCCTCAGATTACCTTGCTTTTAATTGCTTATGAATTGAATTCTTTCTCAGCCCTACCATTATTTTGTTCATGATCAAAATCCCTCTGGCCATCCTGTAATTATTCAGGCTATGTCATTTGTGCTCTTGCTCAGCTTTATCGTCCTGGTGTAGCTTCCCTGTGTTGCAAGACTTACTGAAAATCAATGGGGACGAGCCACTGAGCTCCTCCGGCAGCTGCTGGTGAGAGATCCTGCATGCAAAGTGGGAAAACTTGCCAAGTGTAAATGCATGGCTCTGTTCACTGTTGTTTAAAGTATTTGGAAGGGAAAGTACTTACTCATCATCTTATGATTCTCATGCATCATCCGGCTTTATCCCCAGATACGCAGTGGGCTCATTGATTGAATATTTCTGTCTGTACATTGCAACTGGCAGCTCTACCTTTCTTCTTTGGTGGTGGAATAACATCACCATTAGGAAATTTGATACTGGGAATAGCTAAAGTTTCTGATCCATACTGGTGGCCTTGGGAGTGGAGCCAGAGTTCCAGCACCTGTCCTATCCTCAGCCACCAAAAAGTCAAATTAACTGTCCTGGGCCATGGGGAGCGGAGCAGCAGTATGTCACTACGCACCCAACACAAAAAAAAAATCGAGCAATGTTTGTTACTGGGGCTGAGCAGCCGCCCGCCTGCCCCTGCCTCTCCCATGCAATGCAGTGCCTGGGTGGGTTTGCACAAGGGTACAGAGCAGAGAGGCTTGGAGGGTATAAGGTAAGCAATTTTTCTGATATTTGAGTTTAAATATTGAAAAGGGGACACTGGGAAATTCCCAGTAACTTACTGTGTTTTACAACAGAGAGGGGGATTGCAAAATTTAAAACCAAAGCATGTCTAACTGGAAATAATATTTTAACTGGGGGGCTGTCAACGTCAAAGCGCCCACAGCCCATGCTGTGCTCCTGCCATAAGTTTTCCCATCTGCAGGTGCTGCTTCAGCCATGCTCCCTGACCTCATCCTGTATTCCTCCGTGAACTGAAGCACAAGCCTGTGCCTATACACACCTGTAAATCTTTGAGCCAGTTTTCATGCTGACATGTAAAAACAGGCATGTGCAAACACACACACTCCCCCCCCCACCTGGCTTCATGCATAACCACATACATCTTCTTGGTGCTTCCCTTGCACTGCTGCTCCAGTGGCATAAATGCATTCACGCTTGCAGGCATGTCCCTGTACAATCACCTTCCCTGGGCTCATCTGCTCCAAGCCACGTGTGCTCCTGGCCGTGGCCTTTCCAGTGTACAAAAGCTCTAAAGCAGGTTATCCTACTGGTGGACACTTTCCAATGGCATCTCAGTGACTGCTCTTTTTTGGTTTGCTCCTCAGCTACGAGGGCTTCGTCCCTCAGTACAAATATCAGTTTGGAGAAACCTTTGGCAAAACCACGTACCGCCTGCTGACAGATCCTGGTGTTGGGAAGAGCCCTCGCTCCTTGCTGGCACCACTGTACAAGCAGAAGTTTGTCGAGGACTTCAGCGGGACGAAGCATGGCGTCCAGGGTTATCTCCCTGGGCGTCTAGGTAAGCAGACCCTGGGTCTCGTCCCTTTGCCAGAAGAGGCTCTGCTAATGAGCACAGGGTCAATCACGAGCAGCGGGGTCTGTATCTGTCCTCGATAGGCTCCTGGGGTGAAATGGGATATTTTCCATGGAGCAATCCTGGTTCTGGTGTAGGAGCACAGACACCCGGAGAGCAGCACCAGTGCGGAGCTGGAGCGCTCAGCCTCATCTGATGAGCACGGGGCTTCTCACGTTGGCGTCTGGTGGAGTGGGGAGAATTTTAGTTCCCAGGTTATCTTATCTTCAGTTAGATGAATATTAATGATTTGATGGCATAGGATGAACTCACTTCCCAATTTCTCCTTATTCCTGTCATGGTTTCACCCCAGCCAGCAACTAAGCACTGCACAGCCGGTCGCTCACTTCCCTCCAGGGGGATGGTGGAGAGAATCAGAAGGGTGAAAGTGAGAAAACTCATGGGTTAAGATAAAGACAGTTTAATAATTGAAATAAAATAATATAATTTTAAAAAATTGTAATGAAAGGAAAACAATAAAGAGAGCAAAATAAAACCCAAGCAAGACAAGCGATGCAAATGAAAACAATTGCTCACCACCAACCAACTGATGCGCAGCTGGTCCCCGAGCAGCAGCCCTCCCACCCCCAACCTTCCCTCAGCTCTATATTCTGAGCATGATGTCCTGTGGTCAGGAATATCCCTCTGGTGAGTTGGGGTCAGCTATCCCAGCTGTGTCCCCTCCCAACTCCTTGTGCACCCCCAGCCTACTTGCTGGTGGGGTGAGAAGCAGGAAAGACCTTGACTCTGTGTAAGCACTGCTCAGCAGTAGGGAAAACATCCCTGTATTAGCAACACTGTTTTCAGCACAAACCCAAAACACAGCCCCATACCAGCTACTAGGAAGAAAATTAACTCTATCCCAGTTAAACCCAGCACAATTCTACTGGCTAAAATCCGTCTCTCTAGGGAAGGTCAGCTCTGCCATCTCTGACCCTTTCCTGGCTAACCCACCTGGTGCAGAGCTCGTTGTGGTTCATTTTGCATCTTGCTGCTCCTACTTCAGCTCAGCAGAAGGGCTCATGTGCCCTTCCCTTTGCTTCACACCTTCCCCACTCCTGGTAACAGGCCCCATCTCCTCCATCAGACACTGGGACACGCTCATATGGATTCCCCACACTGGGAATCTGCAGGAATCTCCTGCCAAGTTCCAGCCCTTCTGGGCAAAGGGCTTGGTCCCTGTTGAACAGCCCCAAATCAGGACACAGGAGCAGCTGCACCATGATCCCGATCAGCCCCTCCTGGCGACTCACATGCCAGGTACCATGTCACATAGTTGTTACGGACATCCTGTTCGGTGGGAGCGAGTCCTCTCCCGGCTGAACACAGGGCTTATGTGCTCGGGCAGGAGCTGAGTCTTCATATCCCTGGGGGTGGCCACACCAAAGTGATGCTTTCCCATTTCTTGCTGGGAATTTGTGCCACATAGCTTCTTGCAAACTTTTGGCCTTTCTGTTCATCCTAGCCCTGTTTTCCAGGTTCTAGCTCTCCACTATGCAGCTGGTGTTTACAGGCTTCATTCCTGGACATTTAAATTTGCATTTCCTTGGACTAAAATGTAGTTTGGATGGACCCAACCAACCAGTTGACCTAGTTGCTCTCTCTCATTATCCCGTCCTCATTCTTGTTCTCTCCTCGCCAACCTTTATGTCATCTGCCAACATTTGCAGCTGGGAGCTCACGTTTGCTGCTTGTTGGTGAAATGCTGAAGAATGTGACCACAGGGAGTGCACCTTGCCATGCCAATAACTCTTCATCGACAGCTCCTGCTGTCGAGCTGTCAGTGAGTGATCCCTTAAACCCTTCACTGCAAACTTCACTAGTACTGCCTGGCATCCTTCTGGGTGTTTTACGTGATGGAGACCAAAATGCTCACGGCAGTTTTGGATCTGTGTGGTTGCCATTAGCAAACTCAGTCTGAAGAGGTTTTTTCTCAGCGTCTGGTTTTGATAAAGCCTTTTTGATGGGCACCAAGTATTTTGCTGGTTTCTTTCAGCTGAATCCCATGTTGTTTTCTTGCTGGAAGTGAGGTCAGGCTCTGTTGGTTGGGGATATCAACCAGGGTTATGTTGGATCTCCAGGGGTGGCTGTGTTGGCATTGAGGGGGTTATGGCACAGGCCAAGTGTGCAGGCACCCACTCCCCAGGAACCTGAACTGAAAACATGTGTCTATTTACTCAAATCAAATGGACAGTGCTCTCCTGGCTTTTAATTTAGTGCCTTACTGTGCAACCTTTCTGAATCAGTAAGTTTGCAAAGCTCAGGGTCATAAAAAAAAGCTCGTATGTATTTCTCAAGTACCAGACAACTTCATTTTTCCTTTTCCTCTGGTTTGTGGGATAAAGAGAGTAAATGCAATATTTTCATTAATAATGAAGGAAATACTACGACAAACCTGCTTTAAAATTTGCACACTGGCTTGAAAAATCACTTTCATCAAGGATTTGTCTTTATTTTGTTGCTAGACTGGACTACACTTGATAATTCAATTACATACAGTATATATACTTTACAAAGTTATATATACTTTGCAATTTGCTTATAATTTTATTATAAACCTAAATGCTCATCAGAAGGGGCAAATTTTGCTCTGTGCTGTTTGAGCCAGGACAGACTGTACTTCTCCGGGACTCTGTGCACAAGAAGCCTTCACTGGAAGGCGGTGTCTCATCCATGGGGCTTTGGACTGTGATGCACATGTCCACCAAACATGAGGAGGTCAGGGGAAGGCAGTAATGACCAGAGGGCTGAGAAAAAATGACCTATGAGAACAAAAATGGAAGGAATTTGGTTTGTTTAAAAAAAGACAAGACTGACATAGGAACAGTTTTCCAATAAGGAAGAGGTTGTTGTGGGGTAAGAGTGATCATTCTTCATAACCACTGAGGAGGGAGAAATTGGCTTCGCTCCTGGCACAGAGCATGAGGAAGTACCCCAGCTGGAGGTGTCGTACAGGGCCAGGGCAGCCTGAGGAGCCACATCACAGGATATTTTTAAGGGAAAGTCAGACAAAAGTTGCCAAGCTCAGCTGTCCCTGTGGAGTCTCAAGCTGCAGGGCTCTGTCCCTAGTTCACAGTGGAGATATTTAGCATACACTGGATATAAGATAACTTTTTTTCTGGCTGGCATTACAGCAGACCCTTTCCTTGAGGAGTAGCAATGATGCCAGTGCAAGAATTCCTCGGGGGGGGGGTGTGTGTGTGGTGTGTCTGTGTTTGGGATGTGCTGACAGCCATGTGGAGAAAAGGATATGGTTTTGGGTCCCCTCCCCCCCCTACTTCTTTATAGCTTGGCTGATGATATTTTACAGTTTAGGTGCCACTTAGAATAAATTTTAAATTATTGAACTTTTATTTGTGCAGTTTTTCTGTGCAGGCTGGTTTATTGGATGGGGCTGATGGCACTTGCAGGGTATGTTCACAGCACGTGGCATGCTGTTGACCTCCTAGCTCCCTTCCTTCACTACAGGGGGGTGCGTGTGGGCTGAGGTCTAGTGTGATGGGAATCCCTCATCCTCGTTTGGCCACTTCTTTCCCTTAACTCAGTGTCTATCCCGCAGGGTACTTTCCCTATGAGAAAGCTGGGGCCACAACAAGCTTTCCTGAACCAGCCCTTGGGCCAAAACCTCCCTCACTGGGGCCAGGGCTGGCGGAGGAAGAGCTGATGATGATACACATGGACCCCGTGCCCCAGCATCACCCCGGCGAGTATGTCCCAAGGACACGACTGCCACGTGGGTACCCACAGAGGATTTCATGCCATCCTGCCTCTGAGGAGCGAGAGTGGCAATTGCCCAAGCTAAGCCCAGCTTGTGGACAGGGAAAAAGTTTTGAACCCAGCCAGCTCAGCGATGCCTTGGCAGGAAGCAAACCAGTAAGTGGTTTTGGGTGGAAGAGATGCCTGGTAAGGGGTGCTGCTGCGAAGGGATGGGTTTTGGGGACTGGTGGGCATGGAAGGGCTCTCCTTGGTCTAGGAGTGGTGAAGAGGGAATTTCACATGGGCATGGATGGCAAGAACGGAAAGTTTAGAGTGTCGTGTAGAGAAATGTCAAATACACAAACTCTTCTAGCAGTAGCAAATCCACCACATCTTCAGGAAATTGTTCTAATCATTAACTACTCTTCCTAATCAAAAAGGTTTAACTTCTCATTTGGTTGAGTTTTAGCTTCAAATTTGAGTCATTAGGTCTTATGTTACACTGTGCTACACAGCCAGGCTTGTGTTTTGGGTGAACTGGGAGCTTTGCCGCTACTCTCCTCCTCCTCCTCCCAAAAAGAGAGCGGTCCTCGCACCTTTGGTTATGTGCTGGGTTTAACTGCTCGCACTGCTCACCTGAATTTCCCACCACCATTAATTATCCCTTATTGAAACACAAGCATTGGGATTTGTCTATGGGAGCTGGGTGCTGCTTTGCATGGCACCGCTGGTATCACTCAGGACCAACGTGTTTGAGCCCCCTATTTATTCTGGAACCAGAGACAGCATTTGTCACATCACAGCCAGCTAGGGCTCTGCAAATCCTCTGAAGGCAGAGATTAGAGATTTGACGTAGTGAGTCAAAAGCTGGCTTGGATATAAATCCCAAGAAGGAGCATTCCTGCTCCTTACTCTGAGAAACAGATTTAGAGAGGACCTCAGTGCCCAAAGCTCCCCTTGTTCTCCCTGGGGATTTTGTAAAACCTCTATGTACAGAGAGCTTGTCTTGTAATTTGACTTTACCAGAAATTCTTGGATATGCTCTTGGTGTAAAGCTGGGAAGAAATGAAATGGCAGTTGCCATTCACAGGTTCTGGCAGTGATCTAAGCAATGGAGCCAAAGGAAGAAGTGGGTTCTACTGGTGTTTATTTTTTTTCTGCTTTTATTTTGAGCCTGTAAAAATTGAAGGTATGACACTGCCAGGAGTAGCTGAAACTGTGGATGTGGAGCAAGATAATCGGTTACCAAAACTGGATGTACCAAATGCGATCCAACAGAAAGTCATTCCAGGTAAAAGAGAGGGAGGTTACGTGCAGCACGAGTCCGCCTCGGAAGAAATCATGTCACCCTTCTCCCCCTGGGGAAACCTCAGAGACATTGGCCAGTTGCTCCAACTTGTTTGACACTTTGGGATGGAAAAATGCCCCTGCTCCTCTCCATGCAAGGGTGTTTCTTTGGGACGCTGTCACCCCCGTGGATCTCACACTGAGGGACACGTGCCCGTGGGCAGGCCGAAGGGATGCAGGAGCCACCTCGGTTCCCCACAGCTGCGGGGCCAGGCTAGAAAATGCTCCAGAAAGCAGAGAGAGATGGGTCATGGGCTCTGCACCAACTCCAGCAGCTTGATGAGTATCTGTTACCGTTGAGGTAGTTATTTCTCGCCTAGAAATAAGATACTTTTCTGAATCATCAAAACAACACACAGTGGTGTATTGCACCATCATAAATGTATAAAACTCTTGTCTTTCTTACAAGGAGTTATACTCTCTAACTTCTCCACTTGTTCTGAAAGAGTGTTCCTCTACAAGCAGGAGAACTACAAAGGGTGATGCACTGAACTCCCCCCTAAAGGGTACAACACCAGCAGGAGGGATACTTTGCTCTGCAGCAGACCACAGCAAATACACGGATCGTGTATCCAAATGTTTGAGTCGAAATGAAATTGCATTGATGTTTTAGGATGCAGAAGACAAATTTCTCTCCAAAGCATTTCTTCAGAAAGAGGGAGTTCTGGCTGCTTTTAGGTTGTACCTCTCTCTGTTTTCTGTAGTCTTAGACTTTATATAGTTTCTGTCTTATAAGTGGTGAAAATTTGTTGGATGGACGAGACAAATGAAGAGGACAGGCTGGGCACCTGGCTGTTAGCCCCTGAATGTGTATTAAACTGGGAGAGAACATGACAGAGCTGTTGGTGTAAAAGCTACAATAAAATGAAATGTTCCTTCCATACCTCGTGGAGACCAACAGAGATTAGCTCAGCTTGTTGAGTTTTCCTTGGGAATCATAAATAAGACTCTTTCAGAAAAGATGCTTCACATGTAAGAGTTAATTTTACAATTTAAATGGATGAGGTTTTCCTTCCTGTACTCTGCCAAGGTTTTATATTTATCCCAGCCTCTTCCACTTCCACACTGCTTGATCCTTATTTGATATATGTGTTCTCAAGCAGAAAATGTTCTCTCTTGTCTTCATCCAAAGGGTATGCTGGATTCATTCCCCGCCTCACCTGGATTAATGGTGTGAACTACATCCAGGGTGTGAAGGAAGCAATGAACGAATTTGACCAACATCAGGTAGATTATATGCACAAATCTTATTTCAACAATATAATGTTGGTTTTGATTCATCTGCAACACCAAAAGTGGTTTCAGACACAGTAGTAGTATTAAAACTGGGGTTATAAGTACAAGAAAAATAAAATGCTATTAGGTAACATTGAAAAAAATCATGAGCAGTTAAATTCTGTAACTTGTTTCCTTGGGACATTAAGGGAGGATAAATGAGTTCATAAAAGGATTAAGCAAATCTGTTGAGGGTTGGGTCAAGACTGGCTATTAAAAATGTTGCTCTGAGTGCAGAAACACAGGATGCAGCTATCTGCGCTTCCCTTATGCAATATATCTTCTCTACCTGGATGGCAGTGCTGGATGGCTTCCTGAGCTGCTTGGATGGATATTTCTCCCTTTTAATTGGTTGTAAGGCTTTCTCCTTTACTGACATAATTTGTTTTAAAGGGATCTAGATCTCCTTTCTCCTCGTTTTGGGAAGGATGCAGAAATATCCCTACTGAAAAACTATTTTGTACCCTTACTGTTAAAATCTCCCATATAATGCCGTATAATCCTCCTACATGGGGAAAATGAGATCCCTCCCACAGTAGTTACTAGTTTGCATTCAGTGCTACACATTTCTTCCTGCTACCAGGATGGAGTGAGATTCCTGGGATGCAGCCGTCTTGCTGGTCCAGCGCCAATGAGGGCTGATCAGCTCAGTGACCCAGCTCATTAAAAGCAGGTTACATTTCCAGCCCTTTCTGGTCACTGGGATTCACTGCAGTGCCTTCATCCCAGAGCGTATGGGTCTGATATAGAAAAAAGTCCAAGACTGAGGCTCCCCAGCTCAGAGAAACTCAGCTGGGAAGAAATGACTCAGCAGGCAGAGCAGCAGAGCAGCAGGGCTGACAGTGCTCATGGCAGCCTCATGCTTCGGCTGAAATGTATTTCCCTGTGCTGGCTTCCTTATCCTTTCCTTCTGCCATTAATAGGAATTGAAATGAAGCAAACAGAACAGAAGACAGGCATTATAAAAAATAAATGTGCTGTTTGCAAAGCCTTTCTGCTCCTGCTTTCTTAAGAAATGTCTGCCATGTAGTAAATCAGTGAGGGAGGTGTTTCTTCATTGCAGGATTCAGCAGAATCCAGGCTCATAGAGGTTAGCTGCAGCACATCAGGCACTGAAGGAATATAAGCATGCTAAAAAAAAAAAAAAAATCATACCACATTTCTATCTATCAAAGATGGCTTCTGACTTCAAGCCACTAATCTTCTGCCCTAAATCTCTGTTGCCCTAGGTTACATACTGGGATGTGCCATGGATCATTGCTTACTAGCTGCATCAGGCAAAATAATGCAATCCTCTCGCTTCAGTGCTGCGCTTAAGGAATTGCAGCAGTCGCTCCACCATCAGTCACAAAATGGTTCGATGGCCCCACGGTTTGCTCGGCTCCATGAACCCCGTCCCTTCTCCACCCAGCAGGGTGCGCTGAGCAGGGCAGCGCAGCGTTAGAGACACCTTTAGGGGTTTTGCCGCTGCAGAGACATGCAGAGCTGCAGTGTCCATCCTCCAGCACAGCCCCTTATCTGGGTCTGACCTCGGAGGGCAGGGACAGTTCCAGGAGATGATTTACACTTCAGTTAACGCTCCCTAAGCCTTCCTGTTCCTCCTAGCTTGGGAATTACTGGCTAATCACTGTCAGTGGGACTCATAGAAAAACAAAACCAGTTGAAGGGGTCAAACCAAGACGCAGATGTGCAGAGTCATAGCACAGGAGCAGACGAGGCACGTATACAACTCCAGCAGATCCTGCCGGCTCACAGTGTATCAAATGTATGAGCACAAGGTGTTTGGGACTTGTGGATGATGCCCAAAGGCAACGAATGCAGCCCCGTCTATAGAGATCCTGATGACTACACCTAGGCCAGGAGCTGCTCTGTGCACCTGGGGATATGAGCTAGCAGAGGCAGCAGAGTCTAGGGCTGCTGCCAACACCTGTCAGGAGAAAAACTTAGGAAGTGGAAAAGGGGAAGATGCAATGTAGCTCCTAATTAGAAGAAAATAGAACTGGAAAGAGAATTGCTGAACATTGGCTTAAGTATTTTCTCTAATATGGAGTCAAAGCACGTGACTTGGGTAACAAGAGTATGGTTTAAAATGAACTGTACTGTGTTGTTGGGTTTTTTGTTGTTTGTTTTCCAGTTTTTGCAGAGAAACCCAGCTTGCAGCTTTGGCAAGAGATTTCCCCAAACATACTGGCCTAACAACAGAATTTATACCAGCGCTGGACTGATACCTTCCTACATGGGCTTTGTACCAGGTAAGTTTATCAGCTGAGTGAAAACGAAAGTCACTAATACTAATTACTGTCACTATGTAGTGTTGTAGTAGTGAACAATTGCTGAAACGTTCCACACAAGTAGTAGATTTTTTTTCCAGTCCGTGCCAAGGTGCTGGAGCTGTGCCATCCCCTGCTTTCCTGCAGGAGATCCCGTCATCCTCACTGCCAGCCTGGGCTTGTGCAGAACATTCCTCTGGTTTCCAGCCACCAACCCCCTGCTAAAGCAGAGGAGGCTCTGTAACACCCCACCTGTTACACGGGTGCATTACAATCCCTTCGTCAGGAAAGTGATTCTGTTCTAAAAAGCTTAACGCCTGATAAAAAGCAAAAGGTAGATGATACAAAGGGATTGAGAAAGCACAAAAAAAAGCGCAGTGAAATGGTATTAGCTGTCAAGACGGGAAGCGGCTACCCCATACTGTCTGCCTGATCCTTGTCAGTTATTGATGTTGCCTAAAAGGAGAGGTCTGAAGAAAGTAATTTTGTGTATGTTAAGGGGAGGTCTGCCCATGCACCTGAAAGCATTAAGTTATTAGGCTAAAATGACAACAAATCAGCAACTAATATTGCTATCTTTGGCCACAGCAACGTCAAGAGCCCACAGCCCAAGAGCTCAGTAATATGGGATAGGAAATCGCTGGATAAGCTAGAAAGAACCAAACTCATACCTTGTACTTAATCCAATGTAGAGGAGGAAAATGGTAGAAGACACAAAATGTGGTAGAAATGAAAGCAAAGCGTGGGAAAACAAACTCTCCTGGCAGGGTTGGACTGTAGCTGATACCAAGGTTGAGCCCAGAGAGGAGAATGTGGAGGCAGTGAATGTGGCTCTAGCAAGACTTTTATCAGGGGCATAGGAAGACTGTGCAGAAAAAGCAAAGTTTAACACACAGCCAGTCATCAGGAGCTTGAGGGGTGGTCTAAGGGAAAGAATGGAAGCATCTTACTGATGGAGAAAGGTGAGGCTGGACAGGCCTTCTGATCAAAGATGAAAAGAAGCGTGTTCATTTTGGCCTCTGTCACCACACTGCTGCTTCAGGGAAGATGGCAAGCCCAGCAGCTGCCGTCCCCAGTGCATTACACTCAACCTGTCCCTTTCCTTCGCGCAGCAGCTTGGGTGTCTCACAGGAAAGCCCTGACTGTTCCGGGTGCCCGTTTCCTCTGTGCTGGCTTGCTCAGGAACGGCTGTGGTCACACTCCACAAAGCTGTAGCCTGCGAGCTAAAGCCCCCTGGAGAAAAGCTGTTATGAACCTAAGGGTAAACTGGACTCCGGTGTTAATACCTAGCTGTGTGTTTTGCCCTCTCTCCACAAGCCTGCAGAAAGCAGGGGGGGAGCAGCTGGAGCTCTTTAGGGGAGGCTGACTAATGTAGCTCTGCCCAAAAGGGTGTTGGGGGGACAACACGGTCCTGCTCTTGGTAACTGGTAGGCCAGGGAACACACCAGCTTCCGTGTAATGAAAAGGAGGAAGAAAAACCCACCCTAAAATCAAGGACAAAAATCAACTGCTTAAAGTGTTACTTCATGCTTTAAAAATCTGTTGCCATCTTTTCACCTACAGAAGTATTCTCCTGTGTAGGTTTGAAACTGGCCACCTGTTTCTGTAGACAGACTGATTTCCACTGCCCCAAGAGCCACCACAATTTTAACTACTCCAACCAGTTTGGAAGGAGAAACCTATTTTAAGACAGAAAAACTTAACAAAAAAACCAGTTACAATTAAGAACACCAAACAGCATTGCTTCAGCAGGAAATCAGCCTGCTGTCCCCTGGCCAGCTATTCAGTGACAGGTTTGTTACTTCAGGTAACACTGAACATCTTAACTGTTTCCACTGTAAAAATTTGCTTTGCTAATATAGGGTTTTCATGAGACAAAATAGTGTAATTTTTATCAGGTGTTCAGCTCACTTCAAAAGCAGAGGCTGCAGTAACACCTGATTGATTTAATTTTAAAATCTCTACACAGTTTTTTAAAAAAGTGACTCCAGCAAGGCTGCATACCTGGGAGCTCTTCAGTGTCACTTGTCCTCAGGTGTAGGCACAGCACAGCTTGTCACAGCTGACCCCAATGCTCTCATGACAGGCCATGGCTACCTGCTGGGTTTATACTGCTGAGTAGCTGCAGTGGATCAGCTGGGGCAAACCCAGCTCATCTTCTGCCAGAACACCCACCTGCATCAGAAAGGCAACTTGCCTGCACCATATTGTTGCCCAGGCAGCTGGGGCAAGCTATACGTGACAGCCACCTACATTTGAACCTACACAGCCATGATGGACAGGAGAGCTGCTCAGCTCTTGCCAAGAGTGAAGCCTGTAACAGGAGTCTACATGCAGGTACCTAAATTTAGACACAGCTTGGAGCTGGATTCCATCCTCCGTGTGCAGTGTATCCCGCTCCACCAGTACCCTTGATTAGAAAAGAATACCAGAGAATTTCTTCAATTCCCACACCACCAGGAGGAAGTAGGACTGCCACCACATCCAGCAACAGGCATCCACCTCGTTAGGAGGGAGAGAAGTGCAGTTGCCATGGGCAAGGCAGCAGGGCTCACATCAAGTCCACTATTTTCTTTTCCAGGCCTCCGACACACCTACTCGCTTACTTTTGGAAACAGCACCCGAAAAGCTTACGAAAAAGAACAAAGGAGACAAGCTTGTGCACTGTGAAAAATGCTTTAATGGTGCCTGTACAGCATTTGAAGTGACTTTCAGACAGGAAGAGGAACACAACACAGACAGAGAAGTTTTGAATGAAAGAGTTCATACAGCTTTAAACAAAATTTACAGGTGTTCATCTGCATAGCTTTTACTCTGCCTCTTCCTCAGCCTCCTCCTCAAACTCCCCCTCCTCCTCAGCTGTAGCATCCTGGTACTGCTGATACTCAGACACCAGGTCATTCATGTTGCTCTCAGCCTCTGTGAACTCCATCTCGTCCATGCCCTCACCAGTGTACCAGTGCAGGAAAGCCTTTCGGCGGAACATGGCAGTGAACTGCTCAGAAATGCGTTTGAACAGCTCCTGGATGGCTGTGCTGTTACCAATGAAGGTGGCAGACATTTTCAGGCCACGAGGTGGAATGTCACAGACCGCTGTTTTAACATTATTAGGAATCCATTCAACAAAATAGCTGCTATTTTTGTTCTGAACGTTCAGCATTTGCTCATCGACCTCTTTCATTGACATACGGCCTCTAAAAACAGCAGCTACGGTCAGATAGCGGCCATGACGTGGGTCACACGCAGCCATCATATTCTTTGCATCAAACATCTGCTGTGTTAGCTCTGGCACAGTTAAAGCACGATACTGCTGGCTCCCACGGCTCGTGAGTGGGGCAAAACCAGGCATGAAAAAGTGCAAACGGGGAAAGGGAACCATGTTCACTGCCAGCTTCCGCAGGTCAGCATTAAGCTGGCCTGGGAATCGCAGGCAGGTGGTAACACCGCTCATGGTTGCTGACACTAAATGGTTCAGATCACCATACGTCGGAGTAGTTAACTTCAGTGTTCTGAAGCATATGTCATAGAGGGCTTCGTTATCAATACAGTATGTTTCATCTGTGTTCTCCACAAGCTGGTGCACCGAGAGTGTGGCATTGTAGGGCTCTACTACAGTATCTGATACTTTAGGGGAGGGTACAACACTGAAAGTATTCATAATTCGGTCTGGGTACTCTTCACGAATTTTGCTGATGAGGAGGGTACCCATGCCAGAGCCTGTACCACCACCAAGAGAGTGAGTAAGCTGGAAGCCCTGGAGACAATCACAGCTTTCTGCCTCCTTTCTTACAACATCTAACACAGAATCAACTAATTCAGCACCTTCCGTATAATGGCCCTTTGCCCAGTTGTTTCCTGCTCCGCTCTGACCTGGAAGAGAGCCATTTTCGTATTAGATTACGGTCACTGCTTCCTGCTTATTGCTTGCAAGCAAAGCTTAAGAGCATCAGGCTACAGCAAAAGCCCACTAAAGCTTTCATTTTATCGAGCGCAGAGCTGTGGTTTCACACAAGCACCTCTGAAACGGCTCGGCAGATACAGGGAAAACATTCATTGTCAATGATACAGCACCCATTTAATTTCTCCTGGTGACATGGAAGAGGTAATGAGAATCGGAAGAGCAACGACCTCCTGTGCCTTCTCGGACCTGCCCTCCCAGCAGCTGCCATCATGCACCATCCGCAGATCTCCGGTATTTCGTGCCCGTCATGAAGCGCCAGGATTAACCCCCCTCCCGGGGCCGCGCTTGCCTCAGGAGCATGTGCGGCGGTGAAGCCCGCACTGCAGCGTCCCTGCCCTGCCCACCCCACCCCGAGCCGGTTACACGACAGGTCCCTCCCCCGCTCCCGGCGCACTCACCGAACACGAAGTTGTCCGGCCTGAATATCTGGCCGAAGGGCCCGGAGCGCACCGAGTCCATGGTGCCGGGCTCCAGGTCCACCAGCACGGCGCGGGGCACGTACTTGCCACCTGCAAAACAGGGAGAAACCGTGACTGTTACGGCGGCGAGGGGGCGGTCGGCCCGGGGAGGGGGCGGTCGGCGAGCCGGGCCCTACCTGTGGCCTCGTTGTAGTAGACGTTAATGCGCTCCAGCTGCAGGTCGCT